CCCCCCTCCCACGCACCGGAGTCGCCGCCTTTGGCATCCAATGAAGCCGCAAAACTGCGGTTCGGCCTCCTCGCTCGGCTTTGTACCCTGTTTTCCCATCGGCACCCCTCTTAACCCTCGGCGAACCTCGAGAACCCCTTCCCAACCCTCGGCGCTTCGCTTCGTTGTGTTCAAAATGGCAAATTGCCATGCTAGCCAGGCAGCCCATGGTCAGGAGGGATCGGATCGGCAGGAGGGGTTGGTTGGTTGGTTGGTTAGTTTCACAGCAAACTGAACTGATGCAGCGAAATCAAATTCGTTTTGCGTGTTTCGCATAACGTCTGTGCTCCCCTCGTGTGTCCGCCCCCCCTCAACCTCCGCCCCTTTTGGCTTCCAGACACACCTTGGTCGAAATAAATACCCCTCCAGCCCCCAGCCCCAAGTCCCCGCAACTCCTGGCCTCGTGTAAATTCCAAAACGTGCCGAGGATTCGCTTGGTTAACGCTCATTTTGTTGTTTCCTTGCCATATATGCATGTGTATCGCTGTCCCTGTTTCTCGTTTCTCGGGGCCCTGCATCTGCCTTCCCTCTTCATTAATTTTAATGGTTATACACGCCGCATAATACCTTCTTCGGATCGGGGATCAAAGTTGAGGCTTACTTCCTTTATTTTCGGCACTTATCGCCCGCAACCGATCTCGTTCGAAAGTCGAAAATTGCCAATGTAGATTAGATTCGGACCATTCCGCTTTTATAGGCCCCCTAAAACTAATACGTTCTTAATTGGGAGTGATTTACGGCTAACGAGATTGGCCAGCAAATATTTTTACAGCCCATCAAAAGCTTATAAAATTAAGCAAGTCTGGTGTATAATTTAAAGGAAGTAGTTGGTCACGAATACGAACTATAAAAATCCACTATTTTTCTTATTTGGTACCAAAGATTAAAAGGAATAAGGTATACCCATTTATAAGTATTTGTCCGTGACAAAAAGTTGATGATAAGACAATATTGAATCTTGCCACAAAATCTTCAGTTCAATTTTAAAGGATTGCAAAGTAAGTAAATAAGTTAATTTTACTAATAAAATACCATTTTTTGGTTACTGAACTAAATGTAATATAGGCATTAAACTTTATTCACTTTAAATGAATGATCCGTTTTAAACATATTTTATTAATTCTTTTCTTCAAGAAGTATCAGTACATCCATTTACATGTAAATATATAGAGAACATTTTGTGAGTTTTAACGCAAATATTCAAAAGATTCAATTTAGCAACAAGTTATTAAACTATGCAGATCGATTAGCTTGCCCTACCCATTCGGTACTAATTGGCTATGCATATAATGAGTGCAATCCATTAGCATTAATAACTGTGCGCGACAAATCGACGGCACGAGCTGCAAAAATGCCAGTGAAATTGCTCCGCTACACACTGATAATATCGGTTACGTAAGCTAAGTATGCAAGGTATAAAACACGTGATTAATTAGCATATTTATATCGGCGACAACGTCGCAAATATTTTCTATATTCGCCTGCATTTTGCAAAATGTGAATGTTGAGCAACACGTCTAATTCCAGAGCTTTAAAAAGTGGTTATTCCAATCTTCATTAGTCAACAATATCCATTAAAAACAAAAGAATAGTTTTGGGCATTAGCTGTTTACCTCCAAATTCGTCAACACCTTTGGGTATATTTACATTTTAAGTTACTTATCAGGTAGACTGTTTGTCATTGGCGATAGACATTTGATTAATTGGTTTTTAATACCAATACACCTGAAATAAGTTACCATAGAGTGTGGGATTTTCAGTTAGATATAAAGGAATAATTATCGTTCTGCATAAATTGTTATATTAAAACTTAAAGTTTCTTTTATTTGTATACAATACATATATTTGTTTGCTTTTTTCCAAATTTCTAAAAGCATTCACCTAATTAGTTTGCAGTAAAAACCAGAATATTATAATATTTTAACGATATTGTGACACAATAACATGAACCTCTTTTAATTGAGTCCCAAAAACCTCAATTGAGTCCAAACATCGTGTGATTTTAATGTAAATTGATGTCGAAATCTAAGAATACAAAATTGTAATAATTGCAAAACTGGAAAGACATAAAAATTAAGGTAATCGTTTAATAAAATATCAGAAAATAGAGGTGAAGAAACATCGATGTTTTATCAGAAAAGAATTTCTAATATAGGCGAAGAAACATCGATGTTTTAACCACCGCTATTAAAAACCCTTTTTCTGAAAATAGAAAGTAACATTGGCGATATCTACAATTGAGGTAGCCATTAATTGAGTTGGCCAGCCAAGTGATCCGACAAACAATAATGTGTCAGCGAATCAGTTACATCAGCAGCGAGTGGGGAAAACAAACAGATAATAAATCATAACAGCTAAGTGTTTTCAATTACCCAATTTACCAATCGCGAATCGCAAAGCTGGGCACGTTCCCGCTGAAACAGTCGCAACAACTAATACTTAAATGCCATTTATCAGTGGGCCTTGTCGCGGGGTTGTGGCTTTCGGTGGGGTGGCAGGGGGTGTTGTGGGGTGGCGAGGGGGCGGCACATGCCAAACGGGTGGCCGGATGGAGCGGGACAAGGCGATTTGGGAAAGCTTTCAGCCAGCGCAGGCAAACGGCAACGGCAGCAGCAACAAATACAATGTAAAGCTGATAAGTCTGTTTTCGCAACGACAGCAAAAAGTCAAACGGCGTCTGCTGCCCCCTTTTGGCTTTCTTTTCCTCTCGCTCTCTCCTCCTCTCTCTCTCTATTTTCCGGGGGTGCGCAGTAAAGTGCGACATTTTGCTGCTGATTAAGTAGCGTTCGTTTTTAATAAAAGTACGACAAGCAAATAAAACAACAAGTTGCCTCAGACAGCGATGGCATCGTGACACGACTACAAAAGTCGTTTTATAAAAAGAAAATGGTGGAAAAAGTTCAGTGTAGATTTTAAAATTTATCAACTCAATTTTAAAAGAAACGTGGTATTTAAAAAGTAATTTCTTGAATTCGTGTCATTTACAGTTTAGTCCTTGTTGCACTCCAAAGACTAATAAACGCTTTTCAAAAATGGCTCTGCCCGCTCTCTGCTGGCACACGTACAGTATACCATATGCCCACGCCAATTAATCATTTAATTGCTTATAATCATAATAATAATTATTTAAAGGGTTTTTGGGGTATTATGTATTTGTTTTAGTTTCTATATTTTTATATATCTTAATGACTTTAATTGATTAAAAGATATTTTCCTTGTTAACCTACCTTATCAAGCTCCCATCGCTGACTAAAATACTCTGATAACCGTTGGCTGGTGCAGAGAGCACACATGTCCAAAAAAAAACCTCAAAAGCTGCTGCTTAGTGAAGCTTCCTTCGGTTCGCCTTCGTCCTTGTGCACGTACTCGTGAATCCTTGGCTTCGGCGGCAATCGCCCTTGCAGAAGGTTACGCCACTGGGCTGGAACTGATGGGTGAAGGGGTGGTTGGCCGGTCGGGTGGGTGGTGCGCTGGCACGTGTCCCGTTATGTGGAAGCGACTGTGGCAAGGCTCTGCGGCTTTGTGGGGGAAACAGTGACCACACTCAAGAAAATACAAACCCTTTACAAGATTTAGCTATCGAAATCAGATATATTCATTAAAACACATCTCATCAAAAAGGAATCTGAAACCAAATGGATTTTGAAACTATGTATGGCCATATTTAGCATACAGATACATTTCAATATAATTCAAAATACCAAAGAAAACTTTTTTAAACGTCAAAACCAAACTAGCCTTTAAACTAAATTAAATTTGGTATCCGTTTTTAAGTAAAATATCAAAATGGTTTTATCAAGAATTTTAAAAGAACTTCATAAAACTTTGAAAAGAAATATAGAAATTGTTACTTAAAATATCTAAATAAAAAACCCCAATTATTTGCAGTGCAGTCGACAGGAGCAGCGACAAAGGGCTTTGGTTTAGCGTGCTGCCATATGTTTCCGGCAAGTGCTCGCCCACCGCCACCCACTCCTTTATGAGGCATGAAAAGCGTTGAAATCCGCAATGCCAACAAGTAAACTCCGGGTTGAGCGGGGGTGGCAAGACATCGGTGATTTGTGGACCCGAGGCTTCAGAGAGTGGGACGCAGATATGCGATGGGTAACTCGAGCCGACTTCCTTCGGCCGAGGCGACACCTTCTGTCGACGCCGGGCGCCCTGATTTATCCACAGCCCATAAAAATACTCTACCACACTCGCATTTGTTATACACTGTGTTCCATTTTCATGTTTTTATTGTTTTCGAAAATCAGCTAATTTAACTTAGTGTGTGAGGGGTGTCGAGTGTGTGTGTTGGTTTCATTTTTTGGGTTACATTCCGAGGGTTCTCTAACAATATTACATACAAGAAGTGCATACAATCAGATTTCTAAACATATATGCTTTATATTTAAGTATTCATAGGTTTATTTAGTTAAGGTGTCCGAACAGTACAATATCCGCTTAAATAATTTGGGCGCCTCGATCGAAGCCCTCTCATATACAACTAGATATATCTCATATATATATATATCTGGATAATAGGAATAAATAAGTATACAACAATCAGGAGTCGAGCCAAAGTTATTGGAATAGCTGGAGGTCGATCCGAGGTCTTTCAATTTGTTTGATTGCCTGGAAATTATGTTAATTTCGCGCCGATCACGAGGGATGCTGCCAACGAGCAGGGGGTTGTGAAAAGATACATACGGATAAATCATGGGGTGGATCTACCACCATATTCTACAGTCCAGCTATTCCTCTAAGAAACTCATACAATTTAGTGCTTCCCTTCCTCCCTCATAAACTTTATAATTTTTTCTTCGCTTAAAAATATGTACAGACGATATATAAATAACAAAACAAAAAATATCAGCTAAGAGCAAGAAGAGAATAAAAGTACGAAAACCTAAAGCCTTTTCGAGTGTACGAATATCGTAAATATAAGAGGGAGTATATCAATATCTGTATAATGCGTGTGTGTTTATATAGTACCTAATTCATTTGGTCGAAGCTCTAAAAATTAAAATTCATTTCCAAGTGCTGGGGTGCTGGGTTGTTTTGCTTTTTGCCTGGCTTCGATTTTAAATTTATGTACAAAATTCGTGCTGCAATTAAGCGTAACTCGCTTAAACAACTAATACGAAAAAGTATCTACAAGATATATGTGTATATATTTATTCGGGTATATCGGGTATATGTATATAAATATACGCATATGTGCCAGTGCGAGTTTGTTATTTTCATTATTCCGTTTTGTTTGCTTTTGTTTATATATGCCCAAGTATTGTTTTGTATCTTTATGCCTGACACGCTCGCTCAAAGCGGCGCAAAATCGTTAAAATTTTATCGCCCCGATGAGGAACGTGAGTGTGTATCGGGTATCGCCGTATCGGGCTGTATCTTCTGCCATTTACGAACCATCTAGCTGGCTAGCCCAGCCACCACCGCCGAGTTTTCACACTTCGTGGCGGTTTTCCCGAAGGGTGTGGGCCAAACACTTTCGGCACTCACTGTTTGTGTGTGCGTAATCAAATATTCCTGATGCGATTTCCGTTTTCCTATCAGTTTTGTGGTTTTTTGTATTCTTTGCTTTTCTTCAAAAAGAGTTCTACTATCGCACATTTGAAAATAATTTGCTATTTATTATTTTTAGTTTGGTTTCGTTTCGCTCGGACTTTCCCCAAAAAGCAAAAAGCCAACCGAAGATCTATCTATTAAAGGCATGTGTTTGCGTGTGACCTTATCTCGGTTTAACACATATTTGCTGTTGATATTTTATAATTAATTTTGTTTTTGCTTTGCCTGCTTTCGAAAATGCCAGCGAACGCCAGCGCTTTTGATTATTATTCTCCTCCTCGTTTCTCTCTGTCTCTATCTCTACCTCTCTCTCTCTCTCGTTTGGATTATTTATTAATGAATTTTGTTGCTGACATTTTTGAAATTTGCTTGGATTATTTATTTAGTCGCGTACTAATTCGATTGCAAATGTTTGCATATTCGCATGCAAATGATGCGGTTTCCCTATGTGTAGATATTGCTTAGCGTTGAGTGTATTTCGGATTAGTTCTAAGGCTTACGATCCATTCTACTGGTTAAATAAATTGCACTTTTTCTTCGGGAGCGAGGTTGGAAAACTTGTGCTGCAGGTGTTGGATGTACTGTTTTTTCTTCTTTTTTCTCTGTTATTTTTCATCACCTCAGTTGCTGTCGGTATTCGGTAGATTCTCCAGCGGCGCCACAAGATACATTTGCGTTCCGCACAGCCAAAGAAACGCTGCAAAAGATACGAAAAGAGGCAGAGAATGAATGAAAATGTTATTCACCTTTCTATGGGTGAAAATACAAAATGATGTAATGACTCTACTCGGCCGATGTTCATTAAAAGGCCAACGAAAACAGAAAAAACAAAAAACTCAACACGAGGGAATACGCAAAACCAAAAACCGAAATAATAAAAAAACAAAATGGAAATTAAAACAAGAAAGTATATCAGAGTCGGGTGTTAAGAATATAAGATACTCATTATTTAGTAAAGAAAGGTTTTAATTCAAATAAACATCTATCTCTTGTTAATTTTCTAAAAATATTCCTATTAATCTAACTGTTGGTATATGGGTAGATAGTGATAATACAAACATATTTTATTATAAAAATTATTGTTAAGTAAGTTTTAAGAGATCTCAAAATACTCGATACTATTTATCCGATCGGAAACGCTCTCTTTTTGCCACGTTACCCACTCAAGTACAAATTCGATATACCATTTTATACGATTAGCGGGTATACGAAAACTCAGTGTAGTAACGTCTAAAATAAAAGCAAAGAGTCGTATGAATGACCGACCACGACCGCTGCCGAGTGACGAGCGACAAACAGAGCGAGATGGGTGGCGTGGCTGGTGAGCGAGCGAGAGAGAGAGGCAGAGAGAGTACGTAGAAGAAGATACATTATTTGTGTATAATGACTACTTGAGAAAAGCCAAAACAGAAAAGATATACAAACAACAACGACAGCAGCAAGAAAAACGAGGCAAAGAAAACGCAAAACACGAAATGTAATTTGTATAATTTGAGTCTCAATTCCATCAAGTGTGGGAAATGCGCCAAAAAGAAAAATAATATAGCCAACTCATAAAGGAAGTGGATAGGAAGAAAGAAGGGAAGCGAAGAAGAACTAGCCAAGTTACCGAGTTCCAGAAAGCTGGCTCTAACAAAAGAGTTTGCTCTGCTAATGTAGCGTAGAGCTTAAAAGGTCACAATAGATCGTTAAAAAGAAAAACAAGCAAGAGAAAAAAAATCCGTAGAATAGCGATTGGATCGGTCAAGCTTATTTAGTAAACATTTTCTTTAAGGAAATAAAACCAGAGCATATATCATTAAATTAAATGATCAAAAAAATATATTTATCAAGATCAAGGGTTAAATCAAACCGCAAATAGAGACAAAACTAATCTTAGTTACATATGTACATGCCAAAACACAAAAAACAAAAAATCTTTCGAACTTTTTACTAAAATTCTTAAAATATTAAAAATTTGTATGCAAAAAAGGTTTTAAAACCGTAATCAATTTTAAGGGAATTAGCTGATTCAAGTTATTCAGTATATAAAACGATTACAAAATATCAACAATAAAATATTAATCAAGATCAAAAGTTAAATCAATTCTTAATTAGATAGAAATCGAATCTTAACTTTATTATTATATTTACTAAAATTCTTATACTAATCTTGTAAAAACAAATCAATTGATATAGTATAAGGTTTTCAGAAATGAAATAACTTTCAAGGGAAATAGCTGATTCAAGTTATTCAGCTATAAATATGACAAACACGTTTAAAACAGAAAAAAATTCAGAAACAAATGATTAGTCATGGAAAATGCACTTAAGCTTAAACAAATCGTTGGAAAAACGTAATTTCCTTACAAACTAAATAGGTTCTTGTAATCGCCTGACCCTAAAACATAAAATTTCCCAAGTTCTTAGCCTAAAAAAAGAAAAATCACATTGGGACTCACCTTGTGACTAAGCGGAACTCGCCACCGGAGCATTGGCGATCTGCACGGGCGGCTTGGCCAGCGATGATTCGGGGACTCCGGACGACGGGATGGACAGCAGGGTGCTGGCCGCCGAAACGGTGATGGCCGTTTCCTTGGGCTCCGTCCTGATCTTGGCCAGTTCCGGTGACTTGGCCGCCACGGGTGGCGCCTCCTCGGCCAGAGCAGCCGCCTTGGCCTCGGCCCGAATATTCAAATTGGCCGCCACCTGATCGATGGTCGTGGGCTTCTTGGTCATAGCCCGCGGCGATGTGGCTGCACTGCATCCGGAATTGCTGCCGCCGCTGCTACTGCTGCTGCTACTACTACTACTGGTGGGACTGAGTAGTCCCGGATTACTGGTGGTCATCTTGGGCTTCTCCTCGGCCCGCACAGTCAGTGGTTTGCTGATGGTCGCACTGGCAGCCACCGGTTGATTGCGAAAAGCCAAAGCCGAGGGATTGGGTATGCTCCTAACTGAAGCATTCTGTGGTCTCACCAATGCATTGGCATTCTTGGGCTTGGATGCGGTATTGTTATTGCTGTTACCACCACTGCTGGCCGCCTTTATGGAGATCTTCTCCCTGGCCGTCGCAGATTCAGAGAGCAAATGCAGATTCTGCAGATCATCGCCGTTGCTGTTGCCATTCGAATTGGAGCCACTTCCACCATTGCTGTTGGCGGATATATTCTGTTTGATTTTGTTCAAGGCTGCCTCTAAGCTGTTGTTCGTGTTGCTCGTGTTGCTGCTGGCCGCGGGCGGTGATGTGGGCGCCAATTTGGCGGTGCTGTTCCTTCCCGGGTTAGCTGATAAATCAAGTATATCGGCATCCTTGGTTGCTCCTGCTGTAGCTGCGGTTGTTGCTGTAACAGCCGCTTGCACTGCTGGTCGAAACTCGCGCAAACTCGTTTTCGACTTGTCCAATGCGGCAGTGCCATTGGTTTTGCCCTGGCCGTCAGCTGCTGGCGGGGATTTCTTTGAATTGGCCTCTACCTTTGGGCTCGACTTTGATGGAAACGCTGTAGCCGGAGCTGTGTTGCGCAAATTTATTAATGCAGGCGGTGATGTGCGATAAGCGTTTGAGTTGGAGTTGGAGTTGCTCTTGTTGCTGCTCCTTTGGCCGCTAAGCGCAACTGACAGTGGCGGCGACTTGACAATCGCCGGGATCGTGGTCATCGGCAGGGGCAGCGGCAGAGGCAGCGGCATCTTGGCATGTCCTACTTGCTTTGGCAGAGCCGCCGGTGGTCCCATCAAGCGTTGACCACCACCACCCGACGTTGCTGGCGGGCTGAGTGGCGGCATCTTGGGTTTACTGGCCGGCAAACGCACTATTTCCAGGGCAGGCACATGGCTAGTGGGCTCGGGAAAGGCATAGGACGACGTGCTTCTGGGCCTGGGCGTTATGGTCACCTGACCCGAACTGGGCAGGCTCAGGCTCAAGTTGGCGGGACACAGCAGGGGCAAGGAGGGTTTACCCATTTCGGGGCCATAGGATCGCACCTGGGGATTGGGCAGAAAGGCGGCCGCCTGCTTGTTGTTGCTCTGCTGCATCTGCATCTTGGCCGCATAGCTGGCCATCGCCTGGGCCTGGCCCAAACGCGCCTGCTTGGCCGAGGGATGCGATTCGTCCAGGGAGAGGGATCGCTTGGGCTGTTTGTTGGCCGCACTGGCTATCGAACTGGGCGTGGACAGGTAGCGTTGCATGTGGTACATATTCCGGTTGGTCGGCGGCGCCTGTGGCACCACAAAGTGTCCACCGCTGCTGGGCTTGCGATTGTTGTTGCTGCTCAGCGGCGGTTTGGGTAGGTTACTCTTCACTGGCTGCTGTGGAGCTGGCTGCTTGGGAACACTTGGCGCTGTGCTGGGGGTGAAGGCCTTGAACAAACTGGGCGGCAAGGGTGGTGATGTGGGCAAGGTCAAGTCCTTGGCTTTTGGCACGGCCACCTGTTCCGGCTCCGTCGTAGGCGTAGGGGGCGGCGTGGGTGCTCCACCCACCATCAGGCTGCTTATACTCCTCGCCTCCTCGCCCAACGTGCGATTCAGTGCCTCCGAAGTGCTGCTCGTGCTGTCCAGTTTCAGCTGCTGGAGAGCCAGCTCTCCGCTGGCCAGCGAATGGGACCTCTTCAGATCCAACTTGTGATTCGGTTTCGCGGTGATCTTCACCTTCATCTTGCCATCCGTCTGCGAGGAGATCTCCGCATGCAGCTTCTTGCGCTTGCCATTCGCATCCTTGGGCTCCTTGGAGTGCTTCTTCTTGCGCTTGCGATGCGAACTGGAACTGGAAGTTGTGGTCGAGGTGCTGGCATCGGCGGTGCCCAGGCTGCAGCTGGATCCGTTGGTGGAGCTGGAGCACGAGGACATGGGCGAGGCATTGGGACTGTATTTGCTATCGGTAGGGGCGGCGACACTTTGCGATACCAAGGGCTGTTCAATGGGCTTCAGGCCAATGTTCTTGGCATACGTCTCTAGGTCAAGCTGCTGACCCGAGGAGGAGGAGGTGGAGGTATCCTCCAGTCGCGGACCCGCCGACAAGGGCATACTCAGCTTGCTCTTCATGCTGTTCAGCTCGATCTTCAGCTTGGGCAGATGTCCCACTCCCTTGCGATTGGCCGTCTTCAGCTCAAAGTCCTCTGCGTCTACATAGGATTTTCCCAGTTGCGAGGGTGGAATGCTGACCACTATGTTCGTATTGGCCTCTAGAGGCTGTGGTTCCCGCTCCCGCGGCAGGAGATCCTGCTCCTGTTCGGGCTCACTCTTGACCTTGGACACGGCGTAGTCACTGTAGCGCATGTCGTTGCTGCGGAGACTCTTGAAGCTGCTCACCGGACCCTCGGGTTCCGGCTCCCGCTTGCTCGTCGCCACCCGCTTGCCCTTCGACGAGGGCGAAACCTTGGGCGACGTCTTGCTGCGCACCTTGGAACGCGGCGAACCGGCGGAGTCCATTTCCGATTCCAGGTCCTCGGCAAAGGTCACCGATTTGGCCGACTTGGAGCGACGCACCGAGTGCTCCGGTTCAATGTCCTGGTTAATCCTGGATAGGTTGTTCTCGTCGTTTTTTGCCCCCTCGTTCTCGTACAGCAGAATCCGGTAGCAGAAGGCCATGGGCGATTGCTAAATGATTTTCGTAGACAGAGAGGGGAGAAATGGATGGAAAAAAAAGGGCAGGTTGACAAGGGTGGAAAATTGAAAGTGGACATTGAACGCTAAACTGCCGGCACAATTGGATTGGGTTGTCCCTGGCCGAAAATCTATCGGGTAATTGAGATAAACCACAAAAAGGGACAATAGAGCGACCCACACAGAGGGAAAAAGGGCTTAGTTTACACTTAAAACTGACCAAAGGCGGTATGATGGATCGGATTTAAAGGTTCATTGTGGCAACCGGCACACCGCAAATCAAGGGAGTTTTTTACTCTGTTTCCCCTTTGAATGTTGCGAGTTTAACATAGACGGTAAAAAGTTAACTTAATCGTTTTAATACTATTCGGTTTGTCAATAGGGAATGTAAACTATGTAAACAAAATGCTTGATTGTGTTTACTATAACTATTGTATCTATCGTATTTATTGCAGAATCTCTATCTTCGAACTAAAAATTATGTGATTAACAACACAGAAAGAAATATTCAAGCACATTGTTCTCGAGTTGAGAACATTCGGTTTTTAAAACCGTGTAAGCATAAAAAGTTATTATTTGTACACACAAAGAGAGCATGTTCCCGTAAAATCGATATGGTCATGTAAATTTCAAGTCCAAGGAAAACCCATATCGTTTTTACATGAAATACTCTTTTCGACCAGGTCAAACTTACCTGGCCACATATCAAATCAAATTGATCTTAAATAATGTAAAATCGATCTACGTTCTTTTTGTTCTTAGTATCAAAAGAAAATGGTAGGCAGAAAAAAGTTAAATGGTGTTTACTCAACAACCCTGATAAATATGCACTACTGACTGAACTAACCGATTACCTCTTCTACTTGAGGTATATATATTGCCTTTTACGACCGCTTTTTCGCTCTGTGCAGGGAAGTAGTATAAGTAAAAACTCCACTTACCCGACTCCAGTTGTAGCAATATCCCACATCCATCAGCGTGAAATTGGAGGGCAGAACCTCGTCCTCGTAGGTCACCTCCACCTCAACCATCTTGTTCTCAGCCTCTATGTTATATTTGGAGCAGAGGAAACGTTTCAGCAACTCCACCCGCAATCCGGCGGCGCATTGCAGGTAAATTGTGGGTGGCACCTCGCCAGGACCGCATTGATGCAGCATGGCGGGATGGTATTCCAGGGATAAACTGTTCGATAGGGAAAAGAAAGAAAAAGGCAAAGAGTTGATTAGCTTAGCCTTTATTGATTCTTTCCCCCACGTGCTGAAAACTTACCTAACAAGTTCCGTGGTGGTGAAGAACTCCTGTTCGTGGGTCGTTTGTTCATCTACCAAATCCTCATGCTGCTTCTCGAAATCCGCCAGCTCCTTGCATTCCCTTTGATAAAGACCCGGCACCAGCTTATAGATTAGCGATCGCAACGTATCGTCCGATTTCAGATTTAGCTCGCTGATCTCTTTGCCTCCGCTGGCCTTGCAATCCGGACAATATACCGTCCGCAGCAAATGTTTCAGTATGCAACTGCGGCAATCTGTTGAGAAATTAAAGGCAGAACCAAATAATATGGGATCTATTTCGGGTTCCAAATGAGCTGAGAATATAGAACTTAATAAATAAGGTTTTGATTCATGCTTTGACTTAAAGTAAATAAGTAAATGTTATACAATTCAACGAAACACAAATATCAGTTCAGAAAAAAAAGTATTGAATACTTGTGACCAGTTTATAAAAACGACAAATGGAGATTAAACTTCTTAACCAAAACATAATCATAATGGACATAAAAAGTATACTTTTAATAATAACCACTTTTGATTATTTAAATTAAGAGAAAACTAAAAACATTTTCACCCAAAAAAAATAGTCATAAATGAAACGAAACTATTGTTATATGAATTCTACACTATTGAGTGTGCATCAATAAGATGAGTATTAAATGAATACTTTTTAAAGTATTAAATTGAAACTTTCGGTATATAAATGAAACTACAAAATATTAAGTTGAATTTATTTTACATGAAATTAATACTACTTTAGTATTAGGTCAATACCACTTTTTTTATACTTAATCTAATATATTTTTAAAAGACTTTTTTAAGTTAATGATAGCATAGTCCTCTATAGTTTAGGATCACTTACAGGTGTGATAGCAAATATCCACTGTGGTTGGATCGATCATGTAACCGCGACAAAGTCGGCAGGTTATCATATAGTGAAACTGCCGCACATCCCGCGATGCTGGCGATATAGACTCCGTATCGGAGTGCGGTTCCTTCGGTTCCATCGTTTTGTGCGTGATTTGCAGGTGCATATTCTGCCTATCCTTCAATCCTTACTTTATTAGCCTCTTTTCTTGTTGGGGTCCTGGAAAGGGAAACGACGGCAAAGATTGGGGTTAAGGGGCGGCATTTCCATGTATGGCATGTGCTCAACAAGTGACAAGTGACAACTGACGATGGCTAATCAACTGTTAGGGTCTCCTCATAGTAACGACAAAGGCAAGAAGAGAGCGGGCTACAATGGCCAAACAAAAAGGTTGGAAAAAGACACACAACTGTGAGAACCAACAGGCAGCACACAATCCCATCGCCTAACCATCATCACATCACCATCACCATCACCATCGTCATCATCATCATTGTCGACATTTGTGGTTGTCGCTCGTCAACAAAAAAAGCCACAGAGCCAGATATATCAACCGTGTATCTGTATCTTGTCCCAAAAGATATGGCAACGTCAGCACACTCGCACAATACAGAAAACTTTAGACTAGTAAGGCAGCCATCCATATCCATGAATCGGAACAATGTGCTGCAAGCTTACAAAAATATGAAAAAAAAGAACACAAATGTAGCAACTTTGTGGGTGGGCAGCAGGGGGGTTTGGAGGAAAACGGGGGCCTCTGGGAGGTGGGGTCTTTGGTCTTTCGTTCGCCCTTCGTGCCACAGAGGGCACCTAGCCGAGAGAATCCGAGAAGAGCCGAGAGAAAAACACAGAAAGCGATGTGCACTCGACGGTGTACTTGAAGCTAGTTTTAGCTCGGCGCCCCTTCTCTTCGAAACCTCTCCCCCCACCGCCCACCTCACATACCCACTTTTCCCCATAAAACTACGAAAATTACGCTTTTGTGCCCTGCACAACAGTGGAAACTGAATTTTCATCATTATGGCGATGCCCTGACGATGATTACGAGTTGATGGCAGGCAGCCGAGAGTTCAGGGCAAAGTTCAGGGCATTGTGGATCAGCAGGTTGTTCGGAGACCTCGTATCGTCGTTTTGCTAGAAAAATAGGAATTGGTTCAGATGAACATAGGAATTTTTTAAAGATACACCATCTTTTATAGATTAACTATAAACCCTTTTATAAACCCTTCGGATTTGGAAAATATTCTAACTAATCTAATTCTAATCCTTTCCTTGATCTTTCTGGATCCGATTTTTATTTTTGTATTGAAAATGTCAGAACGGCACAAATACTGAGAAAGCAATAAGTAAATCGATATTACAAAAATGTTTCAAGTAAAAACAACTTCGTTTAAAATATTAAGGATTCACCATGATATTCTGTGATTCTGTCCTAATGACTTTAAATCAGCGGTCGGCAGCGCCCTATTAAGTGAGAATAGGGTTTTGTTCTACCCAGCCGCTGCTCGCTCACGTACACTGTAGAACAGCGGTCTGCACACACACATCGATGAGCTGCCCAGTGCAAATTACTCACACAAATATAAAACAAAATGTCAAGGTATGTGTGTGCCGACCGCTGCTTTAAATTATGTTAATGCAAAATATAATATTTTCTATACGTTTATAACTTTTTTCTTAAAATGCGCATAAAACAAAAAAGTGGTCCTATTAAATTGCAAAATCTATAAATATAACGGTTTTTTTGTACAGTTGACAAGAAATTTGAGATTTAGAAATTGTGTCCCTTTATTGACGATGCATAATTCATAATTCAACAAAGTATTTTGCCAATAAAACCACCTATTAATCCCACAGCCACCCCAAAAAATTCGCCCACTGCATAGCGCAACCAAAAGTCGCATCGCTTCGCCCATTTTTTTGTCTCCGCTGCCTTTTGATTCTTTTCGTTTGCCGCTCACGCGAAAATGGCACGCAAAGGGGAGAGCTTAAGGAAAGTGTGGCGGGGAGGGGGAGGGAGAAGAAGAACGGAGGCTGTGCTAGCAAAACAAAAAGCAAACAAAACAAAAACAAAAGGCCGAGCGGCTTGAACTAAAAGTAAGGCAGTCTGAAAAGTGGGTGGCTTAAGAGGGTGGTGGGGGTGTGCCGACGCCCACTCAGCTGGAAAATGACAGTCCAACATTTGATGACGCTGTGAAAATGATGACGTCGCTGGCGAGCGCTTTTCTTGATTTTCTTTCTGCCCCGCTTTCTGTTTATACGCCGCAATTTCGTAAAAGGCGCGCACTCACACACACACACACACATGGTCACAGCTTGAAAGTGTCGGCAATAACAACAATTACAGTTGGGCCGGCACGAGCGCCCGCAGGGTGGTTACACACACATTCACGCTTTCTCTCCCACTCTCCTTCTCGCTCTCCGTCACACACACACGCAACAAGCTGGGCCGAAAAAGAGACTCACAAAAAAAAGACGAAAACATGGACGAAAATGTACGAAAATTTCGTAACAACACTGGGGAACGATTTTTCCGCGGCCGCGTCCAGAGTTCAACTGAAATCCAATTCGAGAAATCCCAACTGCCGCCGAAGCGAGAGCGCAAATTTGTATCTATTCGCCGCGGCGAGAGAGACAAACAAACTTTCTACTTTTGCGCGGGCGCATTTTCGCCGCCTGTCGACGATTTCGCCGCGACGAAAATTCCAATACGGCGAGAATAACATGCACGCACACCAAGGCATTTGTGTTTACAAAATTTTCACCCATACACACACAACCAGAAACGAGGGAAATTTTCTTGTGTTTTTTAAATTATTTTCCCGCATACGTACTCAAAGCAATTGCGTTGTTACTTGAAGATTTTTCCTCTGTTGCGTTTTCCTCCTGGATTTTCCATTAAATCAAATCCATTTGCCGACACCCACACACACACGCGCTTTCGAATACTCCGCTGCGCTTTCCTCTTATTCTTCTTCTGCCACTTCAGCTGCTGTTATCGATTTCTCGTACACGCACAGATTTTCGCTGCCTCTCGCTCTCTCACTGTTTCGAGCTCGCGCCGCGAAAAACGTATATTCTCCGTTTCACAAAGTGCACGGCACGAAAAGTTTCCACAGACTGATTCTGATTAGACCTGCTGGCGCTGTCGCTGCCCAAAAACGAGCCGCTCTCCGCTTTACGCATGATCGGGAGAGCGAAAGAGCGAGAGAGCCGCCCGAGTGAAACCCGAGAGAAGAAACCACGCCTACCGAGCGAAAAGCCGCAGCGGTGCGCGAGCGAGACGGCACGAGCACGAACGCCGAGCGCTCGGCAACAGCAGGCCATCTCCGTCGCTCTCCCTCGCAACGCGACTGTGTGGGTGGCGGCGTTCCTAATTGAATCCAACTATCAAATGAGAGAGATTAACGCACATATTCGTATGTATGGAAGTGTGGCCGTGTATTGGCCTTGGCGTTTATAATTAACGCAAAAATGCCCGTTTTCGCAGATTTTTTGCTTTTTCCTTTTCTCCTGGCCCGCCGATGGCATTTCATTTTGTTGAGATCCGCGACGAACCTGTTTTTGGCCATATGCAAAGTGTGTTCGCTCGCTTCATTCGCCGCCCGCCACTTGATTTTCCGCCGAAGAAAAAGGGGGAAAATGGTAAACAGGAGGAAAAACAAAAAACGGCGACACAAAATTTGCATTTCAAAAGATTTTGGCATTGTCCTTGAATAAATTTCCGCACGTTCCACACAAACAGTTTCATGCTCGCTTTTACCTAAAAACAAAAAGGGGACAAATTACGGGCAAGTATCACGTTGGATCGAGTGACGAAGATAAATGGTGATAACAAGTCCGTGACGTGACGTCTCTTTTTACGCATGTCCTCGAAGGTCAAAATATTATGTTAAAAAATTTACTTGTATTGCTACACTCCCTGAAATACGTTTTTAGGTACTAGAAAATCTAAATAAAAGTAAGAAAAATGATTTATTTTCATGACAAATTCCATATAAATTCTAATTTACCATACAAAAAATTTTGTTAAGGTGCAATTTTGTATTTTTTAACATATTATCGGATCGGCCTCGTTTTGACCTTTTCTAAATGAAACAGTAAATCGCGAAAGATAGCAAATCACTTACACATTACGGACTCTTTTTTCTGAGCGTGCTTATAAATTCCTACACTAAAGTCACGTAACTAAGAGTTGTTAATTTAAAATTTTTAAATTTGTACTATTAAAGTATACATTATTTGTTAGATGGTCCATTTTACTATTTTTGGTAGTTTCATAACTATTTTGTTAACTAACTAACTAACTAGTGGGTTAAATATACAACTTTATGGTTTGGGACGAATTTAATATTATCTTGATAACTTTACCAACCGATTTGTTTTTGTGTAATGCTTTCCTAAAATAGAGCTTGCTATAGACATATTTATCAATTAGATAATTATCTGTTATTATAATAACACAAAAACATCGATTATATTCTAATATTAGTGTGTTATCCGGTTCTTCGTTTTTTTTTAAATGACCTGCGTATTTTACTTTATTTAGTTATTAAATTTCTGATTTAGTTTCGCATGTATTCATTATATAATACTCGGTACTTTTATACTTTTAGGGCCGTTTTCTCGTCCGCTTGTTCAAGGTTTTAACCCTACTTTAAATTTAACAAACGGACGAGAAAACGACCCTTAGAATCTAAGCCTTAGATCCACAATTACTTTATCAGCGCAACGCGAAATTAGACAGAAAAACACTTTTATGAAAATGTAACATATACTTTAAACACAACCCGTGTAATGTCATAGACCATCCATTGCATTTTTAGCATGTACCTCCCCTCCGGAAAAGGTAGAACATTAGTCATTCGGTGGTTTACAAACTCTGTTGAAATCTTATCCACAACAATGTCATGCTGAAAATTGATATTTCTAAGAATGTTCATTTACATAAAGATATTGACTCACGTTGTACGGGCAGGAGTGGTTCATATTGGATTGTTCCTTAAAGAAATTATAGAAAAACAGAGCAACTGGATTGGAGTTTTGATTTTTGTAAAACCTGCAGGCATCAAGTGTTATATTGTAGAGAAAGGGCTTATAGCCATTTAATCGTTTATAAAGGGCCACGTTTATCTTAAAAAAAATAAATTAATTGCTGAAAGGTAAAGAATATACTGCATACATACCTTTACATTGGTTACGGGAACTTTAAATAGATTCAATTTTACAGAAATGTATTTGTATGTCCGGTTCGCAGATTTCAGACGACAATATTCGAAATTGCTGAAATCCTTGTCTGTTGATTCACACTCAATGTTCGTAAACTCAGTTAAAGTATTAACCTGGAAAGCAAAGCTTTAAAAAGGATTTTTGTTTTCTTCTAATGAATTTCTACCTCTATAACCAAAAAATAAATCACCAGGAAGGTAGTAAAAAAAGGTTTTTGGTTATTCATCTTTCGGGGTTGGGGTTTTCACGGCAAGTAACTTTGATTTCAAATAAAGGTCGACGATATTAAAAAGCTATTCCCCAACTAATTGTTGTCCAAAACTAGGCATTTACCGTATACATCAATTTAGCAATTAGGTAGTTATCTGTTATTATAATAATAACACGCAAATATAGATTATGGTGCAGTGGTGGATCTAGGATTCTATTGTGGGGGGTGATATCAGAAGAATTTTTTTGTTGCATATTTTTTGAATGCAAAAATTCCTTTAATTTTTTACCATAGTGGAAATGATATATCACCCATATCACCCCCCGTGGATCCGCGCATTTTATGGTGTCACCAAAATCTCTTTAAGCCAACTGATATTTTAATTTATTTAGTTAATGCACTTTACTTCTGATCAATTTTGTTTTGATATATTTAAATAATATAATATTCTCGTAAATCCACAAGCCCTCGTAAATCCTTTATTTTGAAATATACTTCTACGAAAGTATGTAATATATTTTAAACACAGCTCGGTTAATGTCATACGCTATCCAATTCATTTTGACCATATACTTCCCCTCCGGAAAAGGTAGAATATTAGTCATTTGGTAATTTATATACTCTGTTGATACCCTGTTCCACTACAAGATCATGCTGAAATTTGATATTTCTGAAATTACTTAGTTGTATGAAGATGTTTACTCATTACTCACATTGTAAGGGCAGGAATGGTTCATATTGGAATAGATCTTAAACCAATTATAAAAATACAAAGCAACTGGATTGGACTTTTGATTTTTTAAAAACTTGCAGGCATCAACTGTTATATTGTAGAGAAAGGGCTTATACCCATTGCCAAGTTTATATAGACCCAGATTTACCTGGATTATATACTTAAGGTATTGAGTATTGTACAGAAAATAAACATTTCAATGCATACCTTAACACTGGTTATCGGAGTTTTAAAGAGAATTACTTTTAAAGAAAAGTATTTGTAGGTCCGGTTCACAGATTTGAGACGACAATACTCAAAATCGGAAAAATCCTTATCTACTGATGCACACTTTATGTTCGTAAACTCAATTAAAGAATTAACCTGCAAATCAGAGTTTAAACAAAAGATTTTTAAATAATTCTTATTTTTATAATAACAACACTCAAAAAAAAATTTTAGAAAATCGCCTATGGATTTGCTTTACTGGCGATTTTTTCTATATTTCTGGAATATTTCTTGAATTTAATAAATTTTGATTAATTTGAAGAACATTTTCTTTACCAGTAGAAAATTTTTTTATTTTAAAGAAAAAAATCGCCAGTGAAGCAAATCCATAGGCGATTTTCTAAAATTCAGGGCGATTCATTTTCTGAGTGAAGAAAGGAAGCTAGCTTCGGTCAGCCGAAGCTTATATACCCTTGCAGATCATTCCTATTAATTAACAAATCGCAAAAATGTTTAATTTTCGAATATTTCTAATTAATTTTCCGATCGTTCCTATGGCAGCTATATGATATAGGCGTCCGATTTTGATCAAATTAAAATTGAAATTCGGAAATATTTAAAAAGAGTCATATCCTAGAGTAGAAGATAATACAATAAAAACCAAAGAAGCTAGAATTTATTTTCTATTACTTTTCCATTCATTTTCGATAGTTCCTATGGCGGCTATATGATATAGGCGTCCGATTTTGATCAAATTAAAATTGAAATTCGGAAATATTTAAAAAGAGTCATATCCTAGAGTAAAAGATAATACAATAAAAACCAAAGAAGCTAGAATTTATTTTCTATTACTTTTCCATTAATTTTCGATCGTTCCTATGGCAGCTATATGATATAGTAGTCCGATTTTTTAAATAATTAATTCGAAATTCAGAAATATTTAAAAAATAACATCCCCAAAAGTAGAAGGTAATATTTCAAAAAACACCGAAGCTAGAATTTTTTAAAGTTTTTTTTCCGATCCTTCCTATGGGAGCTATAAGATATAGTTGTCCGATAAGTTTCGTCCCGATAGCTCAAAAAATGAGAGACTAGTTTGCGTAGAAACAGACAGACGGACGGACAGACGGACATGGCTAGATCGACTCGTCTTGTGATGCTGATCAAGAATATATATACTTTATGGGGTCGGAAACGTCTTCTTCACTTCGTTGCAAACTTCTGACTGAAATCATAATACCCTCTGCAAGGGTATACAAATAATTTTACCTCCCTGATCCAAAAAAAACACAGGAAGTAAACGATAAAATATAGTTTTCTATTCATATTTCGCGGTTGAGGAATCGAAAGGAACTGATTTTGATTTTAAAATAAGGTATCCAAGCGCGACTCTATTAAAAAGCTATTCCCTTACTAATTATTGCCTACAACAAAGCACTTTTAGATTATTTTCTGTTGTTATAACAACATTCAAATATAGATTATACGGGATTTTACAGAAATCTCTTCCAAACAACTGCACTCAGGGAAAAAATTGTTCTGATTGGGTCTGAAAACGTGTCTGATTGAGTCTTAAAAATACCTTTACACCGTTTGGTATCATTATAAGAATTTATGGTGTCATTTTAAGAACGGATTTTTAAGACCGCTGTTCTTACTCTAAGAACGAAACGAAGACGAAAACTGCTAAGCGAGAGGCAAATAGTCGCAGGTTTGGGCATTGTTTGTGAATCGTCATCGAAGTAAGAAAATTAATTTTAAAAATTCCAAAACAATTAACAAGATTTTGATGAGTATCTTACAAATTAAGGACTTCAGGTATCTTTGGGTCAAAAATGCATTGTAGAAACAAATGTTTTTATTTAATTTTTAAGCGCTGTTCACAAATGAAGATTGTTAAACTTTGCTGTGACTTTAAAATTTTGAATGCGCCCACCTTGTCTTGTGGTTCAGTTAGATTGAATTTTCTAAAACGACCGTATAAACTATTTAATTCCGAAAAGATTACCAAAATTGGTTGACCACTCTTGAAGATATATCCCAAAACACAAATAAAAGTTGTGATTTTCTTAAATTAAAGATACCGCAAATACCAGAGCTGATGGAGTGTAGGCGTAGTGGCAACTTATGCTTAGAAAAGCCTCATTTATCGAAATAAAATGGTAGCATGCCTGGACACCAACCCATGTCCCATTTTGTCTTTGTAATATTATATTCTCGTAAATCCATAAATACTTTTTCAGCTCTCTTGAATTGATCTCAGGCAGAAATATACTTCTATGAAAGTAAAATATATATTTTAAACACAGCTCGTTTAATGTCATAGGCCATCCAGTCCATTTTGAACATATATTTTCCCTCCGGAAAAGGTAGAACATTAGTCATTTGGTGGTTTACAAACTCAGTTGAAATCTTCTCCACCACAATGTCATGCTGAAAATGGATATTTTTAAAATTATTAAGTTATATGAGGTTATTTACTCACGTTGTAAGGACAGGTGTGGTTTACATTGGATCGTTCCTTAAAGAAATTATAGAAATAAAGAGCAACTGGATTGGACTTTTTATTTTTCATAAACTTGCAGGCATCGTATGTTATATTGTAGAGAAAGGGCTTATACCCATTTTCAAATTTATATAAAGCCAGATTAACCTAGATTGTGTTTTTAAAGTTTTGATTATTGTGGAAAAAAAACATAATGTATGTACACTGGCACATATATTTCACTACATACCCTAACATCGGTAACCGGAGTTTTATAAAGATTTGCTTTTAGAGAAAAGTATTTGTAGGTCCGATTAACAGATTTCAGACGACAATATTCAAAGTTGCTAAATTCCTTATCTGGTGATTCGCACTTGATGTTTGTAAACTCAATTAAAGAGTTGACCTGCAATGTAGAGCGTAAAAACAGGATTTTTATACAATTCTTATGATTGTCTACCTCTCTCATCCAAAAAATCACCAAAAAAAAAACTAAAATATATAGTTTTCGACACATTTTTCGCGGTTGGGGAATCGCCGGGAACTAACTTTGATTACAAATTTAGGTTATTCAAGTTGGGCGCTTTTAAAAGCTAATTGTTGCCTAAAATGGAGCACTTACTCAGCATTTATAAATCTATATATAGATTATTATTATCCATTATTATTTTAATAACACCAAAATATAGATTATGGGGAATTTCAAAGAAGTCTCTGCCAAATAATTGGTACTTAAATTTATTTAGTCATATTATATAGAGTACACGTTTAGGAAAGTAACAAATATATTTTAAAGACAGCTCGGATAATGTCAAAGGCCATCCAATTCATTTTGAACATGTACTTCCCTTCCGGAAAAGGCAAAACATTAGTCACTCGGTGGTTTACAAGCTCTGCTGTTACCTTGTCCAGCACAAGGTCGTGCTAAAAAGCATATTTTAGACATTTTTAATTATATAATATTATTTACTTACGTCGTAAGGGCAGGAATAGTTCATATTGGAAACGTATTTAAAGAAATATAGCAACTGGATTGGACTTTGGATTTTTTAGGAACTTGCAGGTATCCACAGTTGTATTGTAAAGAAAGGGCTTATAGCCATTGCCAAGCTTATAAAGAGCTAAATTTACCTGGATTGTGTTTTTAAATATTATTAATTTACGGAAGATATACATATATTATTATATTAATACGTACCTTAATTTTGGTAATTGGAGTTTTATAGAGATTTACTTTTAGAGAAAAGTATTTGTAGGTCCGGTTGATAGATTTCGGACGACAATATTCGAAATTGCAGAATTCCTTATCCACCGACTCGTACTCGATGTTATGAATATTAGGTTTTTCACAGTTACAGAAACTTTTTACCTGTACGACCAAATTAAATAGAACCATTAGGCAGGCAATTGAATTATTTCGGTTTTTAGTCAACATGTCGAATCGATGGAGCCACGGAAACTGATACCTTTACATTTTTCTAAATTCGACATAACAGAAAAACCATCAGTAATTAATACAATCAAATTTACAATATGTTTTTTACTATACACTCATATGTAATTTATTCTGCGACACAAAAAGCCTTTCTTGGTAATGTTTCATAATGATTATACAGTAGAGCTTGGAAATAAAGAGTGTAAGCAAATGTTCCATCGTGTAACTAATATCAGCATAACTTTATTTTTTAGTGCCAGATCGTGTTAAAGAAGTTCGACTGTATACAATAAATGGACAATATAATGTATTGATTAGGACTGATTACGGAACCCAAAATAAATGAAATGTTTTTATCTGATTTTATTAAACTTATCCAACCATGTTTAAATGGACTAGTGAGTAATTGTGAATTCCCCTGAAATAAATTAAGCATTTCCGACCTTTTTTAAATCTGTTTGACACTGTTTGACCCTTCTCTCTGTATCATAATTTTAATAAACTCTTTTTGGTGCTCCTCGGCAGTGAGTATGGAAAGTGATTATAAATGCTGTGCCAAAAAGTGAACTGCATTTGCATCTACACCTACCCACGTAGGAAAGCAGACACACGAAGTGGTTGCGGGCGAATCCTTTAGAATCCTGTGGCAAAATGAATAATTAATGTTGCAACTGTTCTGTGGTTTTGTACGTGCGGTTAGCAAGTACAAACGCAAATACACGGAAGTTAGGTGGGTGGGAATTGGGAGGCTAGATACTAATTGCATTCACGCTTGCATGGGCTCCAAAAAGGGGGTTTTGGGTGATTCATTGACCTTGTGGGAGCTTAGAAAGTAATTTACAATCGGAAATAAATACCGAATTGGTTTCAATTAAGTCCCACTACAATTTTTATGCTGATAGACTAAAGGTCCCAAGCATTGGCGGACCCAAATGAAAGCTTTGGGAAATCTTCCTACATTATATCTTTGGGCTTTAAAATATGAATTCCGGCCTTAATATGAAACGATGATACATTTGACATTATTTGGTATCAATTTTGACTTGATATGTGGCATATAAATTCGATATGCTCGAAATGTAAATAACTTTAAATTCGAATGTGTCTTTCTCGCTGTCACTCATGTAACTTTTTTGTAACTGTTTTTCGAAGTCAGAGAATCTCCGACAGGGAGAATTCTAAAAAAATGATATTATTTAATATCAATTTTACCAGTATTGCATGGTATGTAATACCAGAAATTTATCATGTGCCTATCGATTTGATCTCGTAGCGTTTTTTTTGTGTAGCTCTTAAGCTTAAATATAATTAAAGACTAACATATCTGGATTTTTCCATTTCTATAGCTGTGCACTATAACAGAAAACGTTTTTATATTCAGATCGAATTGTTTTTGAAACCTAAAAATATATTTGGATTATTATTTCAAAGATTATACCTTAACCTATTATATTATCGGATAAACCCTTGTCCCAGGCGAAATAATTTTGACAGGTGCACTTATTACGCAGCTTTATAGCAATTACTTTCTGCCCGCCCACTTGGCAACCCACCCTGCCGCAATTAGTCGGCAAATGTATGCTCAAAGTGACATTTATGAAAAAAAGGGAGCATAATTTATTTGGACGCTCATGTGTGCGAGCGAGAGGGGGAGAGAAACGGAAACCAAAGTCGAAAAAAGGGGATTTTATTAAGGGTATGAAAGATGAAAGATTTGCATTGCGAGCAAATCTGTGAAGCGCACAGAAAACATATACTTTTCGTATTAACCCTCGAAAAAATCCGCAAAGTTTTTCTCTTCGGTTTCAGCTTTTTCGGTTTTTTTTCCTCGCCGTGAATTCGTAATGAGCACTTGCGGTACACGATAATGCGGGGTACACATAGTGCTTGTGCTTATTCCGATTTCGAATCCGAGTCGAGACTCGGTCTCGACGCTCGAGTGCAAGATACCGAAAGGCAAAAACAACAGCCTTCGCTCACACAGATACTCACTCACACTCACTCGCTGATGTTGTGTTCACTGTATATTTGCTGTTGTGTTTGCCGTATTTCGTTGTTGTTGCTGCCCTGGCTCTTGCCGCTCGTTCATCGTTCCATTTACAGCGCCAGCATGCCATCCACAGCACGGCACAGCATAGCACAAGCACGAAAACACCATGCCCCGTGTCCAATTCGGTGGTGATATTCGAGAAATTCTTAATCCGGTTTGTTATGTTTTATAGTCTTGTCTTTTTGTGGGCAACTATTTCTCCCAAAGGCAAATTATAATTCAAAAAGCCCACTATTTCTATCAACCAAATGTGATAAGCGAAAAAAATCCTTGCATTTCAAGAAAAAATGAAACAAAACCTTGCCCTTAACAGAACTCTTGTGGGGACCAATGTAATAAATTTAACTAAATATGTTTTTTAAAGGAATGATACATTTAAAAAACCCATATTTTTTTGTAATTTGAAGATAAGAAGCAAAATTTTTTTTTTTAATTAGTACAGAAAAGATTTTACTTTACTCAGGGCTTTGTAAGGGACTTCTCCTGATCGATCCTTTCTTCTTTTGCAAAAGAGAACCAAAGAACTCGCTTTGCAAAATATTAAAATGCTTCAGCAACAAAACTGGAGCTAATAAGCCCCAAAATGTTTGCAATGGTTTTTACTCCATACCATGTAAAATTACATTTTTTGAATATTCAGTTCGTATTTATTAAGCTGTAAATGTGGATTAATTCATTGGAATAATACAACCAAAAGTATAATATTTTATTTTATTAAATCAACTGAACTAATTTTTTTTAAATAAAAAAAACAAATCTTTCGCTTTTTTGTTACACACAAAAAAAAACTTGGTAAAAGCAGCTGTAATAATTGTCAAACAGGCCCCAACCAGCAAAATTGTCAATTCTACTAAGTTAATAGTCATTTCACAACAACAAAATACACACAATTAGCAAAGACACAAACCCAAAGCAAAAACAAAATACACGTAACTATTTTAATAGTTACGTAACTATCTTTGTTGGTCAATTTTACCAAGCAAATTTTTTTGTGTGTACCATTTCCAACTGGGTTCAATGTTTTCCTCATTTCGCTTTGCGTGACGTGTCGTCGAGGTAGAGGGTAGGGGAGGAATGGAGGGTTTGTTGGCTGGGGGGCGGGGGGCATGGCTTTGGTATTGGCATATTTTCTGCCGACGTCGGCAGCGGCGTCGCGTCGTGCGCAAACATGGCGTTGCTTTTGCTTCTGATGTAGCTTCTTCTGCTTTTTGCATTCGCCTGGCCAAAAGTGCGCTCCCACACACACATACACAATATTTACTTTTAGCTTGCAGGCCGGCCAACCCCCTCGCCCAGCCCCACCCCCCACCTCAGCCCCCCGGCGACCCAGGAATTGTCGGGGAATATTTACATTTTGATTGGGAAACTGCTGAGGCTCATTTTACGGCTACACTTGTGTGTACGTGGGTGTAGTTTAACATTCAGCTCTTGTCGTTGTTTTTTCTTCTTTTCTCCTTTTTCGTTTCGATTCGTTTCGTGCACGTGTGTGTGTGCGCTATCCGCTTTTGTCCAATTATAATTTGTTTCGATTTATCACACGATGTTTTATGGAGACAAGACAACAACAACAACAACGAAACACAAAGAGAGCAACGATACCTGGCGAATGATTAATTAATCATCGAGAACCGAAATGCGATAATCTTATGACAATCGGCCATCTATTTATTATATCGAATTGAGCTATTCCAAATATTTTCCTAGCGGATAAGCCGCTTTGGGGCGAATGGAGCTTACGTAACACTTTCAATTCGGGTTGTCAGATAAATATTCGGACATTTATGCGTTTTGTCTGCCATTTTAATGGGTTTTGCAATCACTTTTTATCTGTGTTTTTAGGTTTGACCCTCTGGTGATTGCTTTAAATGGCCATTAAAGAGTTTAAATTACTACAATAGTTTGAAAGCGTATGCTATAGTCGAGTGTATCGACCATCAGATACCCGTTACAAGGTAAAGGGAATGCGAAGGAGATGGAGATATGCAAGCAGCAAAGCGGCAACTCTCACGCGCGCCATCTGGCGGCTATTCCATTATGTCCATAATTTTTGAATGAAAGGTCTCATTTAAAAATTGTCGATGGGTATTGATACATACACCCCCCACTCGGGTGAAAATGAAAGGAATATTGGTATTCAAAAAGTATGCAACAAAAAACAAACAAACAAACAAGCAACAAATTCTGATATCACCCCCCACAACAAAATCCTATATCCGCCACTGCATACAACTGTTGTATTACAATATCTTTTAAGAACCAGACAAATTTTAGGGCCACATTGTGGGCGTCAGATTTGGCTAGGCACTGTTATAAAACGACCTTTCAAAAATCTCAGTAACATGGACTCTTAGTCCCAATGTTCTAGCTCCTTTCACACTGATCACACTCGACTTGATTTTCGAACGAATAACTTTTTATACCCGTTACTCGTAGAGTAAAAGGGTATATTGTACTGGTGCAAAAGTATGTAACACGGAGAAGGAAGCTTTTCCGACCCTATAAAATATATACAT